CGACATCAAGAGATACAAAGGCGAAGTTGTTCACTTGTTCTTGTAGTACCATGCAGAAGACAGGGACTGGGACAAAATGGGCAAGGTAACAACATACTCATTTCGTAATTTTAAAGGCATGCTTAATTTAATCATTGATAAAAAGATATTATTTAAGTAGCAACACCCTAATCAAAACCGAGTTTTAAGTCCATGAAAGGATTTAGTTGTCGAAGTTATTTGAAGACCACCAATTGAAAGGAACAAAGAAAAACACAATATATGGCTTTACATATAATATTGATTTCAGTATTTATATATATATATATATATATATCGATTAAGTTACTTTTTGCTAAACTTAAATGAATTTGTTTTGTTATTTATTTTATTCTATACTTTAAACAATTAAATTATATATATTTTTATATAAATAGTTGGGAGTTTATGCTGAATTTGAGATATGAAAAAAATTTATATGTTTAGAAGTAAACAATTTAGAGAAACTTGTTAAATTTTGAAGAAATTTATAATTTATGTAAAACTACTGTATCACGAGGGGAAACTTGTTTAATTTCGAAGTGTTAACCAAAAATATCTTGAGTTCGATTTATGAAAGTTATTCTTTATAATTAAGACATCTTTAAATACCATAATAAGTCTTAAATTTGAAACAGAGTAACTTTGTTTTTTTAATCTTTTAATTCTTAAAAAAAAACAATGACTTTATTTATAAAACTTTATTAATTGATAGGTAATGAAGATTCGGATTGGGAGATAGGTGTCATGAGAGAAACGATAAAATGAGAGGAATGGGAAAGGACAGTTGATGACATTTAAGGCCCAAAGAGGGGCCCAATATAGATGGCTCATGATTTTTAGGCAACATATCAAATGGTATTTGGTAATCTCTCTCTTTCTTTTTTTGGCGAATCTCTCTTTCGGTTTGTTCTGATTAAATATAAATATTGTGCATAAGACCAAAACTCTATGGCGTCCGCTTCTGTCATGCAATCTTTTAACAAACCACAAACCGTAACGGACCAACCATGTAATATACATAATAGAAGGATATGCATTGTCAATTTCCCCAACATTCTGCTACATGATTTGTACACATCATAATATACCAAATGCCCACTTCACAATGTATTTGCATGCATGCAGCCATGTATGCCTCATCAATCATCATTCAATTTTGGCAGCATTTCACGTAATACTAGGTTCCTTTCAAATTTATAATTATAAATTTTAATGGATATACTAAAATATTTCATAACTCTCTGTTTTTACTAATTTGCACAAATTTTACATTTTATATATTTTTTAGTGAAAGATTTAACTCAAATATCTGAAAAATAAAATATGGAAACCATTATGTAATTAAGCCAAAAATTAATAACAAAAATAACTACAGCTAAATAAAAAATAAACAAAATAGATTAAAAGAACTAGGTCTGTCACTAACTTATTTTTCAAGTATTATTTATTTTTATGCATTAAATTTGAGCATTTGTTTTTAAATAATAGTATTTTTACGAACTGTTTTCTTCTTCGTATTTAGTTTTTTAAATTGAATTTTATTTTTTAAAACTTTGAAAAACTATATTTTTAATTTAATCTCATTAAATATATTGAATTATTTATTATAAATAATTTATTTTAAGGTTATAAAATTTATTAAATTTAAAAATATAACTAGTTCATATAAATTTGAATACTCAGCCTTGAATAGTTTTTTTGTTAAATTATTTGCTTTCAGTAAAATGAATTGATTTTTTATTTACTAACTCATTTAATATTTTTATTTGAAGATTCCTTTTATCATATAGACGAATTTTATATATAATTTTTGGATTTTTAGTTTTATATAATTTATTATTTTTACCAAAAAAATAAACTTAGTAATTTTTAATTCAGATTTAAAATTTTCACACGAAGTGTCAAGTCAATATTCATAAATTATGTCTTGATTCAATTTTTTTATTTTATAATTTTCTCAACTAAAGTGGTCTTGTTTCTTTGATTTAATTGTATCTACTAAAAAGAATTGTTGTTGCAACGAGAATACCTCTCGTAACAGTCTGTTCTAGTTTTTCTAGACGTGTACTTGATCATTGCTTAATAATCATCGTAGTTTTAACCTTGTATATATATTTTTTATATTTTAATTTTTTTACATAAATTCAAAAATGTTTATGCAATATATGAGAAACTTGCTTCTAATATGTATTATTTTTTTCTTTATCAACTACATTTACCATTCTTAATCTCTACGATCATTTACACAAAGGACGAGGTGAGTTTGAATTTTAAAAACTTTACTTGAGACATTTAGTATTTAAAAAATATTTCAAAGTTATGTTTAGTAACACAAATTTATAATTTTATATTCTTAAAATAATATAGTTAAGATGTTTGATAACACATAAAAAAAAGGTTTATAACTTTTAAATATAAAAAAATTGTTTAAGTCATATTCACCTTGTAATTTATAGCTACACATAATTTTATCTCTTATTTTCACTTGTTATTTTAAACATATTACGTAAATACCACTCGTGAATATCTTTTTATTATTATTTAAATTTAATAGCATATTTATCGGTACAATATTTTGTTTCATTCGTACATTTTAGCTCTAAATATTTTTAATTTAATTAATTATTTAAAAATAAAAAAAATAGTTATAAATTATATACAGAACCTAAATCTGAAATAATGTGTCAAAATAAATAAACTTACTTAAAAAGATAAACTTTTATCAAAAATTATTTTTGAAAATTAAAATTTTTTAAACTTAATATATTTATATCTGTATAAAGTATGGGTCATCACTCTTAAATTAAAACTTTTTTAGAAATTATCTTAAATAAAACATTTTTGATATTCAATCTCTTTCCGTTACATCACGTGACTTTCTTTACATTGAACGTTTAAAAATTTAATTTAATCTCAATTTAAATTTATCATATTTTTTTTATAAAAAAATTATACATCTGTAATTTAAGATTATTTAATAACATAAAATAATTATTAATATTTACAAATTTTTCAATTCATAAAATTTATTATATTTAAAAATAATCATTCATTATATCATCACTTTAATATGATAATACCTACAAGAAACTCACATGTTAATTACTTATAAAAATATGCTTGTCATCACTTAAATTAAATGTTATTAATCTCAACGTGAAGAGCTTACTTAGACAGGATAAAGACAAACATTATTTTAGTCCCTATTATTAATGGGGCATTAATTAATTAAACCAATTTTACCCATCATATACGAATACGTTTTCAGTTTAAAAGCTTTCTCGTGTATATTTTTTCATTTTGGTTGATAGAAATTTACAAAAGATTATGCTTATCCGTTTCCTATTTGCTTGGGATTCTCTTATTAACTTTAGGAAGATATTTTAATTGCAAAACTGAATTAGGTTGCTGGAGTCAAAATTTGACTTGGAGGTTGTTAAATCGAGAATCACATTCAAAATCAGATTGAATTTTTTTTGGCGACTAATCACCTGGATTTTAGGGTCAAGTAAAATTTAAGCATTTTTTTTTTATGGTACTGATGCAATTTTGTTGGGGGCACATTACAGTAAATAAGTTAAGCACGTGTTTCATTTAAAATGGTTTAAGCAGATGAAGATTAAGATAAGAAGATGGCAAATTCAAGATAGGAGAATATCTTTCTAAAAATTGAACTATAAAATTTCTAATATCCTTTTTCTGCCATTTCACTAGTTTAGTGCCTCCTTTATAGTCTAATCAGTTTCACAAAAACCGTATAGAAAATCAGCCACGTATGGATTATGTGAGTGATATGTCTCCCGCATTGTGGTAAGTAAAAAAGGAAAACAGACCTTTTTCTGAGGAGTGGTTCACGTGGAAATCACAAGTGGGGAGCTAAATTTGGAGTAAAATGAAACTTGATGTGTAAAAGAAACGGTGGTTGCAGTAGAAGCATAAATTTGGGCACTAAAAGCCAGTCCTGGAAAGGATAAACACTATGATCCAATGCGATTCTAACCTCCCAGACTTGACAGTTAGACACTAGAGTGACGTTGACCCCATTAAGTTGTTACACTTTTTCTTTTTCTGGATAAATAGTTCTCCCCTTTTTCTTATTATGATTGAAAACATTCTAATCAGATCAAATCAACGTGACTAGCTAGAGTTTCATCACCTCTAAATTTTCCTCAACTTGTTGGTGGGGTTGTGTGACTCTGTACACTGCTCTCTTTCTGACAAATCACGGCAAAGGCATGCAATCACTTATAACGTGTACAAATCAGTAAATAAACAATTTTTTATTGATTTAACGTGAATGGGTTTTACATCTAAATTAATCTTATTGTGTTAAATCTACTAGACTGCTGCGAAACAGATGTGCTCTTAGAGAGCTGAAAATTATTAAATAGAGACATTATATTCAAACACATCGTAAGTAATAATCGTGAAAGGATGGTTGCCATGATACAAAGTGACCAGATTTCGCCGTTGCTTGAATTAATCTGACGAGCGGTGTTAATTTAATGAAGTTGGTGAGAGAGGGAAATAAGTAATAAATGTGATAACAATTCTACTGCAATTCCCTTGCAATTAATTGGTTCTGGCTGTTTCCAAACGCACATTCTTAAGTTTCTGCTGAAAAGCGAGAGTGGTCCTGATTCCTACTTGGAATGAAATCATTTCGATAATGAAATTGCATGGAAGTGGTAGTGTAAACGGTACACAATCTAGCACTTCATCCCAAGCTAAGAAAGGATTTTTATTTGCCCCCTCTTTTAACTTTTGCTCTCTTCTCCAAAGGTTGTTTACAAAATAAAGAAAAGATAACAGGTACCGAACAATTTAAGCATCCAGAGAGCCAAACAAGCAACCTAAAAAATATCAAAATGTTATACTCTATTCCTAAAGAAAAAGGAAATGTAGGTTAAACTACAACCTCAGCTTTCTCAATCACATACCGGACACTCGCCTTATAGGACATGCATCCTCCACTACCCTTTCCTCTTTCTCTCCTGTAAGTCAAACCTACTTAGGAAAAATTGCAATGTACAAGAAGTACACAAAATTAAACAAAGGACCAAGGTCCCCCCCCCCCCCCCCAACAGAGAACCACCGTTGTTTCTTTTCTTCAACTTCAATTCAATATCTCCTTCTCAACCCCAAGCTCACCGATCCATCAAAATTAAGCTCAAGGGCACCATTGTAAAATCTTCCTCATTTTCATTTCGCTTTTGCCCACTTCTCCCATGCATGGATTGGAGGAGCATTACTTTGCTACTAGCATTCAACACGTGTGATACCGTAATGCCACAAAAATCCTCCGTTTCCATTCATGATTTTCTTTAACAATCTCTTCTTTGATGAACCTCTTCTTTTTTTTTGCGCCTAAACCAAATACCAATTATATTTATGAATTTGGTAGCGGCAAGTGGGAGCGTGCAAACGCAGTTCTATGCTTTGCCTCAGCTTCCCAACACCGTTCAATGTCTTCTGCTATTCTCTTGGCATCCATGTACGCACCAAGTAGACCCTTTTTGGTAAAACCCACCGCATAGAGCCCATTTTTACCCTTCCATCCATTTGGGAATGGCCTCTTCGGGTACCCATCTTCCTTGGAGAACATATCTTCTTCCTGCACACACACCAATCAAGAATATTATATTTTTTTGCTATGTATCAATTTCAAAATTTATAGAGAGGTGTCTCTGTTCAATTCCGTGTTTTCCCCAAACTTGCTAAAGACTGGGAATTTAATATATTTTAAACACATGATTGTCACAATTTAAACCTTGTCATACTCTTGAGCAACAAAATATAGTAATAGGTAAATGCTAATTGTATGATTAGAATATGGTTAAAGAGACAAAAGTAAAAAAAAAAATGTCAAAAAGTATTATTAATGTATGTCTTATAATTTTTAAAAAACTATAACATATTTTTTTAATTCTTGAACTAAGACATTAGAAATATTGATTTACAAAACTCATAATAATCTTCATGAATTAAAAAAAATCATAAATTAATTATAAAATACAACTATCAAATAAATTTTTTTTTTCTGTTTAAAATGTCTGTATCATATTATTCAAGAACTTGAATGCATTTGTTACAAATGGTAAGCGTCATACCTTGAGCCAATAGGGTACACTGCTTTTGTAACCCGTTGCCAATATGATTGCATCATAATTCTCTGTCCTTCCGTCTACAAATTCCACTGTTTGACGTTTAAGCCGCTTAATGCCTGGACGTACCTACATCAATTTTGAGTTTGACATACTCAGATTTCATTTGCTCGTTGATTTCAAACAACCAATCTAACAGAAATATAATTAACCCCACCAAACATGATCAAAACAATGATTAGTGAACGTTTTTTGTCGACTAGCTTTCGGATTTTTTTATAAAGAAACTAAAAAAATTCCAAACCCTGTGCTTTCCGCCCACGATTTGATTGAAAACACGCAATGATGGAAACTCTAGCAAAGAAGGGGTGGAAAAAAATAAAAGAAGGGAACACAATAAGGGGTCATTTCATTAAATATAAAAAGGAGGAGAAAATGTAAGTTGCACTGATGAAAAGCAAAAGAAAAAATTAGGTAGCACCATTAGTTTTTTTATGAAAAGCACGGTGTAAATAAGATCTTTGTGACCCCTCAAAAATGAAGATTTGGGTTTCATAAAAAACAAAAAAAAAGAAAGTTGAATTTGATTTGATAAAAAGGGAAGGGTAAGTACCTTAATGTCTCCACCTTTAATCTTGGCAAGGGTACCCACGTCTAGCACAGGGGTCTTTCCAGAAAGGTTTTTGAGTTCAAGAGGACCCAAACGAGGCCGGTCCAATCCGAATCGAGCAGTGTCACCAAGCATAAGCCATGACACTATTAGCAAGAACCGATCGACAAGTCGCATGGGTAACCACTTGAGCAACCACATGGACAACCCAAAAGTTGATTTTCCCAGCATCTCTCGTGGTAGAACGTGTACCTTACCCAAACCAAAAAAAAAAAATCATAAAAATTTACTAGATTGTAACACAAAATAAAATAAAAAAGAGGGGCAAAACAAGATGCAAAAGTGTACGAGGACTTTGATCTCCTGATTTTTTGCAGGCCGTGCTTTATGTGCACTGTGGTGGAAAACACAAAAATCATGGGGAGTAAATAAAGAAAGGAAAAAAAAAATTTCACTACAAAATATCGCTGGCGCATGCTTAATTTAAAATCCAAGAAAGTGCAAGATCAAGTTTCTGATTTATTATTTAACAATCCATTGGAACTTGAAGCCAGTAGATGCAAGAATGAAACGAGGGTTTTTCTAATTTGAATAAAGTAGGTGTGTGAGACCAGAAAAGGCAAACTTGAGGAAGAATTTTACTGATTTCTTTTTCAGATTGAACAGAACAAGGCTTGCAGTTTCATTTTTCTAATTAGAAGATAGTGGTTAGTGATGTGAAATTTCACACAAGAAAAACACCCTGTCATATTTTATGACTTTTTAGAATTTTTTGCATGAGCGAAAAAAAACCCATCTTTGGTTTTGCAAACCAAGCTGTGTATATTTAGCAACATGACAAAAGTCACAAAACCAATTAAAATTTTGAAATAAAAAAAAAGTGCAAATCTTGTTGCAAATTAACCTATTTCATATTAAATCAGAATTCCAAATCAGGAGGGACACCAACTTTTATATATATATATATATATATATAAAAGAAACTAAGCAGAGAGATTAGAGCTTCTTACTGTATCTCTGACCACAAGTGATGGAGTAGCATTATTGTTGCAAAGATCTAAGCACGCTTCCATACCCGAATTCCCACACCCCACCACCAAAACCCTCTTCCCTCTAAACTCTTCACCACTTTTATACAAACTTGTATGCCTTATGGGTGCTTCAAATTCCTCTATTCCTTCAATATCAGGCACCACCGCCTCTGCATTCTCTCCGGTGGCCACAATCAACCACCGGCACACATACTCCGTCGTCTTCTCCGCCTTGTTAAAACTCTTCAAGCGCCAAAAGCCAAGCTTTGCATCAAACTCTGCATGCTTCACCGTCTCATTGAACCTTGGCCTAATTCCAAACCCCTCTGCGTAACTCTCCAAGTACTCTATGAACTGCTGCTTTGATGGGTACGTTGGGAAATCAGAAGGGAACCCCATAAAGGGGAGTTCACAGAATTGCTTTGGTAAATGAAGGCGTAAACGATCATAGGTTTTAAGCTGCCACAGAGAAGCTATGCAATTAGATCTCTCTAGTATTACACTTTGGATTCTTTTCTCTTTGAGACATGCTGCTACTGCAAGCCCAGAAGGCCCAGCTCCTACAATCACAGGCCCATCAACCCATACACATCTCTCAGTGGAAGATGAAGACATGTTATTATAATTATTATTCATGAACAAAGGGTCATGTGCTTGCTTTCCTTCTATTTCTCGCATGCAGTAGTCCATCAAGATTAATGCAATTAAGAAAAACAAAACTTTTATGGACCAAACTAAACTCTCTCAGTATATATGCTTGCTTGCTACCTTGTTGCTTTTGGCGCTGAGGGTGAGTTTGTGCTAGCTTCCAATTTCAGGTTCAGGTCTCAAGACAGAGCAACGTTGGAGAGAAACTAAAGCTCCTTCTCTCTCTCTCTCTCACTTTGTTGAAGGATTAGGCTTGTCAAAATAATTTCCTAAAAAATTGGAGTGGATTAAGAGGGTCTTATCCACTAACAAGAATGAATATTTTTCTTCTCTCTCTATGTGTATGTGGGAGTGTGGTGTTTTTGTGTATGGTTCAATATGGAGGAGGGTTAAGCGGAAGGATGAGCACCAACTACGGGGCTAAATCAGCATTCATCATAGAGATAGACTGAGAAGGATGGTGATATCTCTCTGTATATATATATTCCTATTGTATCATACAATGAGAGAATTTATATGGACAAAAACCAAGTGGTGAAAACAGAAGCAACGCTTGTAGGGACATTTTATATGATATAATGTTATTAATTTAAACTCAATGCTAATAAATTAATAATGCACATATAAATCATGTAGATTTGCTGGCTAATTAATTAAATTCCTGGAATTTACATATTTAACCCCCCACATGCAAACGTCACTATGGTCGTCAAAATTAAGAGAGATTGATTAGGAGTACATTGCACAAAATAATTATTCCTCTTAAACACTTTCCATTGGTTAACAAACCCAATAAGATATGATCAACAGTTAAAACAAGTGTTTTAGAGGAGCATAATCTAGAAGATAGCCGGTGATGATCATTCTCATTGCGCAATGTGGAGTGACTCAGCTTCTGTTGGGTGGTTTCTGTGAAATATATCCGAGATGTCACTTTTGTGGTATATTTTCCATTTTCAAATCAACTCAAAGATTATTTTTCTTTTATACATACTATGTTAATGAGCATTGATACCTGAGTTTTAAAAAACAAAACAATTCTTATGGATATATTATTTTAAAATCAACATTAATCAAGTATTAAACTGATAATATTGTGTTAAATAGACTGTTTTAATTAAAAAGTTAGTTGATATATTTTTTGCATCACTCTCATATTATTATAGTTTTAAAATATAAATAAACACCAACTATTAAATTATATATAATGTTTTATTTTTCTAAATTTTAAAATAAATGACAGAATAATATCACACAATTCAATTATTAACTTTATTAAAAAAATTAAAATATTAAATAGAATAAATATTTAAAACTTGCTCATAAAATTTTTTTTAAAAAAAAAGGAAAGGCGACCAACAAATCTGTTACAAGTACACTCAAAATAGCAGTTTTTTCCGATCTTAATTACATTATCCATATCTCTTAAATTTGAATAATTTGAACGAGTGACTTAACTTTTTCTATATTGTATAGGATTTTGAATTCAATTTCCCTTTCAATTTTAAATACATCTTCTCTATTTCTATGTGATTTTTTTAAAATAAATATGTGAATTATATATATTTTGTTGATACGGGCTAAGTAAACTTATTTTATTATTTCGTTGAATTCAGTTAATACTGCATGTAACTCTTTGAATTGACCACATTTAACTATTTTTTTAACGTTTGCAATTGCTCGCACAATTTCAAAATCCAATTGATTATTTCGTTGAATTCACTTAATATTGCATGTAACTTTTTGAATTAACCGCACTTAAATATTTTTTTAATGTTTTCAATTGTTCACACAATATATTAATTGGCATGTATGTATATAGGAAGAACAAATAAATTAACATACGGTGTTATATATAATGTCAAATTTCAATAAAAATAAAATTATTTAACAACCATAAATATGTGAGCAAAAGATATTGTTTAAGAATAGAGTTGTTTGAAATTTTTCTTTGTGAGTACAAGAGTCACGGACCATGATAATTACATCAACAATTTAATCAGAAAAACTTTATTAAATTTCATTATGTTAAGTTTTGTAAGTTTGATGGGTTTAGCAATTTTTAAAAATATATTTTTTAAGTTGGACTCGGTCGTAATCGATGACGTAGGTTTTTAACTCTACAATGTCACTTGTTAGGGAACGTACATGGTACTCACCCTAACCTTCATTCACACAATCCTGTGGAAATGTAGTTTCCATTATTACTAGTTAAAAAAAGCATATATTAACGGTTAATAATTAAAGTTATTCTATTAGTAGAAATATATTTTATAAAATTAAGTTATTAATATATATATATATATATATATATATATATATAAGTTTTTTTATCAAAAAAATGTTTATGAATGTAATGTACCACGGTATTAGAATAACAATACAATGCTTATATTATTAAACTAATTTAAATAAATAATTACCAGTTTAACAACTAAATTTTTTTATTAATATATAAAATAAGACAGGAAATAATATCGTGATTTAAAAAGTAAAGCTAAAATGAATGAATGAATGAATGTAGGGTCTTGAGTTTATTGTGAATTGAGAATCTCATTAAATAGAAGATAGTGCAGGGCCTTGAAGTCCCTGGATCGCCAATGAGTGATCTAATGATGGAAAAGGAAAATGATATGAAGAGAATAAATATGCAGAAATGAAGGCCATATAAATACATGACAGGGAAAAAACGAGGGCCACCCTTCGACTTGACATCCAAGATCGTTATTACCGAATACAAGTTTATAACGTCCGACAGCTATAATTATTAACGATTCTTTTTATTATTTTTAATTGTTATCAATAAAATATTTTTAACATGTGCTTTTTTATTATGTTTCTATTATACTTTTATATATTTTTTAATTAATATTTTTATACTACTTGTTAATAAAAACTTTTTGTTAATGCGATTTCGTTAATATAAGTCTCACTGTGTCTTACTCATTTATTTTCAATCACTTAAAATGTAAACGATATTAACTGTATTTTTTCAAAAAATTATTAATAAGTTTTTTAAAGATATTAGATGATAAAAAATTAATAATTAACAAAGATATTGTTTATTATATTAGATATATTAAATTTATTTATACAATCAATATATTTTAAAAAGTAAACATCTAACAAATATATTTATTTTAATTAATATTCCTTTCTTTTTATTTTTGCATGTTTATAAATGACAAGTAAGTTTTTAAGTCTATCAAAATTTGAACTTTTTTATTTTATCTTTCACTTTTAATTTTTTCCATACAAGTTATCAAATTTTATTTCACATAATTTATTAATTTTTCAATTATTTACGTATGTAACATTGATCTTTTGAAGCAATTAATAATATGATATATATATTAAACGAAATGATGATTATCTATCTATAGATAGAACTAATATCTGAATATGAAATTGACAAGCTACAACAAAATGCATGGTGTCACTTAATCATTGCTCATGTCTATAGATTATTAATCATTGAGATTCATCTAAAAAATTTGAGAATAAGGGGAAGCAAATTCTTGTGACATGAGTCCTATATAGTATCTTCCTTCTCTCTTGTCAAGGCCAATTTGGCCCTGCAGCCAATTTCTGTCTTCCAGAAAAATACAGTTTGTGTTGTTGTGTGCATTTATATATGTTCTGGCTCACTCATGTCGTGAATTATTAATTGAAATTTATTGAAAATTATAAAAATCATGTTAGTTTCATTTTTCTTTCATAGTTTTTTAAAAATAAATTTTAGTTAATAACAAAAAAATATGTTAAAAAATGAGTTGCTGTCATTTATGAGATACTACAGACAAAACAACTGTGTTTTGTTTTTCTAGATGCTTCATTCATTCATGAGTAACAATGATAATAATCACATGGTTGTTACAACAATTAATGCCACAGTTTTGTTGAGAGTAATGAATAGGTGAAAGAGAGATGGAGCTTCATGTCCGTAGTCCTTTGAGGTTGACAATTCTTGGTAAAAATTTTCGTCCACGCTACAATAGAAAGAAAGATATTTATTTAGTGCTCAGTTGTTAATTAAACTGCGAAGAATGTTGTTGCAAAAACATGGATTAAGAGCATAGAATAAGCATATATAAAATCAACGTGTGTGCTGTGTAAGTTGGCAAATATACAATATGAAAGGTTATTTATCCTCCATAATTCTTTAACTAAGCATCTGTGCCCAATCAACAATTATAAGTGTTGTATTGAACCATTTTTTCACTTCTAATGCATAACATGAACTAATTATTAGAGTATAATTAATTTAGAGTTTTGTTAACTTCAGCATTTAAAGTTAAAAATAAGTAACTAATACTGATAAAATTTTATTAGAAAGAGAAGTGTTTATTGTATTTTTATAACTTCAATATAATAACTATGTACTTTTTTTATAAATTTTTTTATTTGTGAATGTTTAAACTCAACTCTAAAAATTGAGGTTAACAAAATCTATTAATTTTATTTTATTTTGAAATCATGTGAAGATTAAAATAATGACCTGTTATGTATTTAGAAATTAGGTTAAAAAGATATTTTAAAAAGGAATTTTTATCTGTGATTAATAGTGTAGACAAAATTAATTATTATTTACAATTGGATTCACTAAGACTTGACTGATTTTATTTATGTTTTCACTATTATTATTTTGCAATTTCAACTGCAAGAAAAACAAGTGTTGAACTATGGACAAATGTATTTTTTGTTGTAGTGCGAGCTTATGCTATTGGCTAATCAACGTTGAGATATTGGGAAATTCTTAGATCATCCGTTTTTTATAAAAGTAAAAAACAATAAAAATGAGCGTGGTCAAAGATTTTAAGATACAAAGAAAATTAAGTGGGTAAAAGTTCTTCATTTTATTTGCAAAGATTTTATTTTATTTCTAAAGCATCTACTATGACATTAATGGATTTGTGGATTCCTAGCTATAGTTTAATTTGAACTTTATGTCGTGCATCTGAGGTACAAACTATTGGCATTCATTCATTCTTGTAGATTATTCATTTTCCATTGATAAAAAGTGATATAGAACCATTTAAGAC